TTAAGTTTTTCCTCATTGAGTGATTTTTAGTTTGTATTTCCTCAATCGAGTGATTTTTTGGTTCTTTATTCTCCTCGTTAGAGTGACGCTTTGAGTTTAGGTTTTTTATTGTTGAATTTGTAAATCAGTTTGAGAACATTTTTGAGTTTTTGGAGTCATGCATTTGGGTTTGCTTTTTTGTGGTCTTGTCAATCCCAGCTGACTCAGGGTGAAGGCAGGTTTGCCTGGACAGGTCACCAGCCTATCACAAGGCCACACTTACAGACAGACAACCAAGCACGCTCACATTTACACCTACAGACAATTTAGAATCACCAATTAATCTAACATGTTTTTGGACTGTGTGGGAGGAACCCGGAGAGAACCCACGCTGGACGGGGAGAACATGTAAACTCCATGCAGAAAGATCCTGGGTGTTCTCACTGAGACACGAACCGGCGACCTTCTTGCTGCGAGGCAAAGGAAACAGGATAGCTTCTAGATAACAGAAAGCTATTTGCCATTATGTGCCTCTGTTAATGAATCAAGCGGTAGTTTGCCTTGATTTCTTTATGGTGTCGAATAATGACCAGAAAAGTGTTTTTGCAGAACATCAAGATGTTGTCACAAAGCTAATGTTTGACATTTTGCATCTAAAATTGCACCATTTCATCATGTTAACCTGTTGGACATTTTGGCATAATTACCACATGAATTTCTGAGTTATGGCCAAAAATGTGGTTTTTGAGATCACAGTGACCTCAGATCACCAAATCCTAATCAGTTCATCCTCAAGTCCAGGAGGATGTTTCTGCTGGATTTGAAGAAATTCTGTCCAGACTTTAAAAAGATATCACATCACATGGATCGACTGTACCTGGTGTGGACAAATAAAATGATCACGTGTCAACTGTGACATAAAAAGGCAATCAGTATTAAATGGGCAGTAAGAGAGTGTAGATGCTGGTTTTGCTTGTACAAAGTAATACTTATAAATTGTCAAACAGCTTTGTGACTGTTGGTTCATAGTTTATTCACATCTTATAAGTTGTTACAGAGGGGAATTCTTAATATTCAAGACGGAGTTGGGCATCAGACATGAGAGTAAACGCAATCCTCCACCTGTCGCTTCAAAATAAACACTGTTCAAAAAAGTTAGAGGAATATCTTCCCACCTGTGCTACAATAGTGTAAATGATTACAGTAAAAAACAAAAAAACATCGAAGCAGATTAATTTGTTAAATCTTATTATTCAACCCAAATAATAATGAAAGCATTCCTCACACACCAATGCCCATTAAATCAACAGAAACCAAATTTAGAGTCCTGATTTTAAAATCAAAGCTCCTTAATTAAGATAAGAACATCACATAATCATCACCCTCCAGTTCAAAAAATGTTAAGTGAGATTCTGTGTTCTTCCTTCAACCTCTCCAGGTAAAAAAAAAAAGACTGTTTTGTCTTATTCTTCTTTCCTCTTTCTGCTACAAAGTCAGTCACAATCTGCAGCCACTTTGCAGACTGTATGATCTGTCGACTCTTTATCAGTCATTATTTTTATCTTTAGAACATAGTTTCCCAGCCTGTGAGCAGACAAACAAGGTCACTCTGACTTCAGTCTGCTTCAGTCATCTAAATAAAAAAGTTTAAAACACTATTTTTATGCCTACATTCCTGTTTCATCAAAGCTGGACAGAAGCTCAGATAAGTCACAACTTCTTGCATTGCGGTTAAAGAACTTTTTCTCTTTGCTCATGTTGTCGTGTGACCCAACTTTCACCAGGGGGAGGTATAATCTCAAACATCAGCTCTGAGTCAGTCTGACGGACACGAACAGATTCTCACGACAGTTGATGGAAATGCTTCGTCAGGAGGCGATGTGACGACAGAATGAACATTATGTCTAACTGCAGTTTGCAAGAGTCCCAAAAGACAAACTAACTATAGGATCCCGAGGTATGTGAGAGTAAAACATGGTGGTCTGGATGCTGTTCACATGTCTTACATTCCAAAAATAATGTATGGGATTGAAGCACAAGTTTGCATCAGTTGTTTTTTGTTTTTTTTTTTTAGTTCTGACAATTTCTAATGAAATTTTGTCCAACTAACAAACTGCATTGAGTTAGAAATGAACTATTAGCACGTCTTAAACTCTGAAAAAAAAGAAATTGGGATCAATCACGCAAACAAACAAAAATTCAACATCCCAGTTTGTGTTTTTTGAGTTATGACAACTTCTCATGAATTATATCTAATCAACAAACTAAACTGAGTTAGAAATTAGAAATGAGCTATTTTTACTTATCAGTCTTAGCTGTCTGAAATGATCACGGTGTCTTGATGTGTGAAGGAGAGGACTTGAAATCTTGCACTCAAAGTAAAGAAAAATTAAGTTATAAGCCAGTTTTATTAAGTTACCTCAACTGAGTTTAGATTTAATTGAACAGAAATATGAGTTCATTTTACACACAATAATAAGTTGATGCAATTACCAACATTATGTCAACACAACCCATCAAAATACTGTTTGCAACTTAAATAGTTTGTCTGAACTACATTTTTAAACTTGCAAATGGCATTTAGTTAAGTGATGAGAACAGATCCCCTGAATTACTTTTTACAGTGCAGCCTACATCCCTTGTTTTATCCAATACTAATCCTGCTCTAATACTGACGCGAACAAAAGGTTGTGTTATCAACTACATTAACGCAGATTAGTACTACAGAAATGCCACATGTAAGTCATCTTTATTTGTGTTCTCAAAGCTTTTGAAATGTTAAAACAATAAACTAGTAAAATGTGATCACAGAGAAACCGCTGATGCTCAGCAGGTATAACGTTCGCCATGTTTCTCCATCTCAGTGTTCGCATGTCATATTCATCCACTGGGACACATTAATGTCTGCAAAAGCTTTTTACGGGTCTCCATGATGTTGCGCAGATATTTCAGTCTGAACCAAATTTGGACTGACCAGCAGAATGACCCGCACTGCAGCTTGGCGGAAAATTCTGGAGCATCTGTTTCCAGAATCACTACACGTCACTTTTACCACTTTTCCGACACGCTATTATTCTTCAGTGGAATATGTTTTTTGACTGTAAATGCCAGTTTCATGATTTCCTTCAGTGGCCAAGAACCAACCAGCGCTCAACCAATCAGTTAAACAATTGAAGGGACATTAATGGCGAACGATTTTAAACTTCTGAAACGTGAATATATTCCAGT